GAGTAGAGCATTTGCATTGTTCTGAATGAGAGATAAACCACTTACATGTGAACGTTTTGTTGAAGAACCGTAACAGATATCTGTGAAATTTCAAAACGTGAATCATGTCAAGGAAGTTGAGTATCTGAAGTGTAATTTTTGTGTAGTTTCGGGTTAATAATGTGGCCTTTTTGGCAGTTTAACTAAAGGTGTGCACGGCTGCTGCCGTGAGGAAATATCTGCCTGAAATTACAATGGGTATTAATGGGGGAATGTTGAATGTTTTTGTCACTTCATGCCCTCAAAAAACATTTTGTTTAATTATTTTTTGCTTAATTATTTGTCATTTTTCAAGCTACGAGATGTTTTCCTACGTTTGTCATGATAAATTATGTCTCAGGAATGTAGGGTTTGGGAGTTATGGCAGTTTTATAAAAAAAATATGAATGCGAATTTCAAGCTGTCCTCCACTCTAGCTGTGACATCACACACTCTAGTTAATGTTAAAATGTGAAGAAAACCTCTAAAACAAGGTCTGAACAATGTTTAATATCTCTAAAAGTAAGAATCAGATTTAAAAGTTGTTTTACACGAATTATGTCAGAAAGATGTGTAACATCTTAAAGTTGGAATGAGGTTTCTGAGTGAAAGTATGAATGAACAGTTAGCAGTTGAAGTCGCATGAAGATTTGTTGAAGTCTTACGATTTCCTCCATTGACTTTAATGTTAAAAATTTGATGTATTATGGGATGTATCTCTGGAATTATGAAAGTTATGAATGAGAAAAGTAATAGCAATCGATTCCCGACCGAGCTGAACGTTTTGATGTTCGAACGGAGTTTCTGCGATGTTCAATGCGGGAGGAGAAGAGGGCCAAAATAATCCGGCGGAATAATAATAAAAATGTTGTCCGTAGAAGAACAGTTAGTTGGAATGCTGTTAACAGCATTCCAACTAAATAATTCAAAGCAAAGTGTATTACCTATGTGTGTGAAACATAACTTTTATCACATTTCTTTATCATTTTGGCATTTGATTGATGAAAGCAGCTTCATGTTGTTGCTTTAACCTGTTGATACGATAATGATGAGACTCACCAGTTGGTCTGCCTGAGCCTCCAGGTCAGTAGAGAAGGACAGGAGATCCGAGATAGTTACTCCTTTGTTTAACTAGAACAACAAAACCAAAACATACACTCATGAAGCAGGGATCATAGTTTCAGTCTTTATTGGAGTTTGTATTTTTCCAATGAAATAGACTTCTCAGCCCAAATGAGTACTCTTTTGAATAAGCATATTACAAGTGAATAGGATCAGTAGAGGAATAGAGAGAAGCATTAGATCTTTTTTTGAAATATTATTTGTATTAAATTCATACTCTATAAATGTATACCTCAGTTAGGTAGGCTTCATAGTTGATATGTCCGATTCCAGAGTTGGCGAAGTTGATGAGGTTGTCTCTGCCGGCCTGCTCCAGCAGCTTGACGTCCTGTAGGTCCACCTGCACTCCCTCCAACACTTTGGCCAGATCCTTGTTGTACTGTTGTTAAAAACACTTCAACTGATAAGTAACCTTTCATCTTGCTTACCCAATGCATCGGTAACACAGGTTTTTATCGGCATTTCCTACAGAGTGCAGTGAGACTTACCACAGTTCTGTTGAGGAAGGAGTTGATGTTGAACATCGTCTCCAGCTGCAGAGAATGGTACAGACCTTTGTTCTCATAGCAGTCCCTACGAGACAAACACAGTACAGTCACACGCTGAAACTCCTCTAGTGTACACTTATGAGCATTTGTGCTACTGGTAGTAAACAGTGATCTTTATGTCAAGTATGAACAGTGTTAGTTGTTGGTATATTACCTGTACATGCCTCCCAAAGTCAAGTCAATGTTAGGATTCTGAAACAGCATCCCAGGAAGGAAGTTCTTCTTGGCGGGATGAACCAGGAATGGAGTGTCTATGATCTACACACACATACACACATGCATTTTCATCAGCCACAGTGTTCTGATGTAACATGATTTCGCTCCGAGAGGCAGAGGAGAGATGATTCAGGAAAAGAAGTGAGCTTGTTTTCTGCACCTTGAATAGCTGTCGGTTAGCGAGGGGTTCACACAACATCTTCTCCACGTTGCCTCCAATAACAAACAAGGTCGAAACAATGGCCATCAGCACCCAGACGGACATAAAAGAGAAGCCAACTCCACTGAAAGACCAACAGACACAAACACAGTTATCTTGTACTACCTGTTTCCTGCATCCATCATCTTTTACAATTGCTACTTCTATGATTTTATATGGTCACTTTAAATAATATATACATATACACTGCTACTTAGTTTGGTGGTCTACTTATCTGTTATTTATTTTTTACTTATTGTGTTTTTTATTGTTAATAACGTGTGAACCACTTAGTTATTTTTGAATATATTAAGTCTATTCTCTTAATAAGCCCTCTTGTCACTCCTCTCAATTTGAGGGTTGTACACTTTTGGAAACATACGCCATTAGCAGGTTGCCGCCGGTGTTTGACAGGCAGCCTCGTGTTGTTGGTGTAACTTGCTCGTCGTAGCCGCAGACGCCACACAGCAGTCCGAGGGTGTTAAAGGCCAGGACCAAGACCACCATGCAGAGCACTGCCACACAGCTGACCCACCTGCGAGACACACACACACACACACACACACACACACACACACACACACACACACACACACACACACACACACACACACACACACACACACACACACACACACACACACACACACACACACACACACACACACACACACACACAATGATGAACACTACCATGACATAATCTCCCCTTTTAGGTTGATAGCCAATTGAGTATTCACAGAAACACAGAGAACCCGGTGAATGTTAAGTCTTCACTGTCTGTCAGCTCTGATTTAGTTTTGAGGGAAATATCTGTCCCTTCAGCTGCTAAATACTCCTCTTTGTTCATTAAATTGTTTCTAATTTAATCTGTCTTTCACGATTTGTGCTAAGCAGGTAGTGTACAGGGATTTTTTAAAACTCTTTTTCGTTGCCTGCTATAGTAGAAAGACCGGTGAGACCGCTGAACAATGAGCTGACACTCACTATAAAGCTCCAAAAAGCAGAGCTGCACATTTGGTGATAATTCTCATGTATGTTCACAATGACAAGCATTTCACATTGTATTTAAAGTTACAGAAATATGGAAAATAGCTGATTCAAGCCTTTTACTAACCCCAAAGATAAAATATTTAACGTAATATATTCCCTTGTAGAGGCCATATTCTTGTTTTCCAGATGGAAAGTTTGTCCCCATAATCTGACAGATTTCTGTTCCTACAACCTATAGTAATAATACATGTTCTCAGACGAACACACACACCTGTAAAAGTCCATTTGGTCAATCTGTGGGTAAAAGGACTCAATATTTTTCTGTCCTTGGGTGAGGAAAATGGTGAAATTGGCGAGAGAAGCTTCCACTGGGAACATCTTGGTGAAGCCGTTGATCTCTGTGCCAATCTTATCCAACATGCCTTTCACTCCTACAAATGAAAACAAAAATATGAACCACAAGTAATCAGAAGGAATGATGGATTTGTATTCTACATCAATCAGAAGGCCACTCAAATTAGAGGTGAACACTTTAAGGAAAGGGGGGGTGTAACAGAAAAAATAAGGACTTACGAGGTAGAGCTGTGGTTTCATCATTCACAGGTGAAGGTGAAAGAAAAAGAAAATATGAAAGTGAAAGACTAGTTAGATTTAATCTCTTATCGTTTGTAAAGAAGAAGAGAAAACAGCTATATGTGTTAGGCAAACTAAATAGACACGCACACACACACACACACACACACACACACACACACACACACACACACAC